GGTGTCAGTATAAAAATATATACTTAAAAAGAATATATTAGTAAAGCATAGAAAATCTTATATATATGGTTGGTGCGCGGTACCGCATTCTGACTTCTCAAAACTTGAAAATACATTAATGTGTTTGCACGAATATAATTTATGTGTTGAGAGGAAGAGAAAGAGAGAGAAAGAGGAGAGATATTATCATTTGGGCAAAAAAGCCTTCTTTTCTTCTTTTTTTTACTAGAGAATGGACTATACCATCACCTTTGGACGGCACATTTGGCCTGCTATGGTCATTTATAGGGTTTTTGAAGGTATAATTGAATTTATCTTGTTAAAAATTTTATAATAGTATCAGAATGTCTTCGTTAAAATTTTAATGTGATTCTAATGAAATGTTTTTTTTTCTTGTTTTATTTCTCTCTCTTCTCTTCTATTATGTCACTTTTTTTTTTGGAAAATACATGCAAAATTGTTATAGGTGTGAGATGTGGGAAGGACTGCATAATGGAAAAAAAAATTCATTGTATCATCGTTTAAAAAAAAAAAATCACTCATCCAAACCTAGAAAAAAAAAAATCTACACCACGAAGGAGGCTAAATGGATCATCAACTATACATAGAATGAGACTTTTCTTTCCTATATATAATCATAAGTTATTGGCAATGGAATCAAATTATTAACTAGGCCTGATTGTTGCCTTTTTGTTAGAAATGATAGTGAGTATTTATAAATTAGATTTCTAATATATTTATATCTTAATTATTATTTATTGAATAAAAAGTTTAAATAATTATACATTGTTTATCATGTTTTATATATTTATTATCAAAATTTTATTTAATATTCAACCTAAAAAAATCGACATATAAGCCTAACCTTCTAAGCCTAGAGGCTCATAGCTCGTCTTTTCAAAGCTTAGTTGTGGCTTGGTTTGGTTTTTTTTGTAACTGTATTTTTATTTTTAAAATAAAATAATTATAATAATATTTTAAAAATCATATAATTATACCATGTTTTTCAAATGAATTATAGATTTTTTATATAATTATACTAACAATTAATTTATGGATAATTACGTGCAAACTTAATATGCATAATTATTTAAAAGATTTTTCATAAATATTCAATAAGAATAATATATACATATTTTATTTTTTTGTTATGAATATTTCATATAAGTTTTTTAAATTAATTATTCTTTTATTTTCACACACAGTGGCATAAAAATTATCAAGACATAATTTTTTGTTTTTTTTAAATGAAACTTACTTTTCAAATTGTGATAAGGTTTTTATTCGTTTCCTGTTATTGCATTTCTTTGTTTTTTATTTTTTACAAAAACATATCTCTCTTACTCATAGCATTTTTTTTTAATAAAAAACAGAGAACTAAAGTAAATATAAAAGTTTGAATCTCTTTTCAAAACTACTGTGATATGAGAAGATATGAGATAAGGAGATAAGAAAATAAGAAATAAGAACAGCTGAAAATATAAGCAGGAAGTGATCTATAAATGGATCCGAAAGTGAATTAAAAAGGGAGAGAGATGAGAGAAACTTGAGAGAAGAAGAAGAGCCTAGAGATTAAAAATCATTTTTGAACATAAAAAGTGGAAAGAAATCAGAGAAAAAAATTCACTGAGAAACCAAACAAAAAGGTGGAAAGAAAAAAAAAACATTTCTGCCTAGAAACTCAAACCTAGCCACCGCCGCCCGTTCCTCTCCTCCAAACTTGACAAATTGCCGGCACCTTTTCTCCCATCAACTTCGGCCAAATTAGTTGCCTGAGGCAAAGCCTTCCCCTTCCTTCAATCATCGACCAAAAAAAACAAAGGTGCATGCATGCACCAAACTCCAGTGATGGTGAACCAATCAAGAGAGAAAGGAAATCAAATGAAGCTTCCTGAGTTTCTAGCTCACGTTTCAAACTACGTTGATCTACATCACCTCTGCAAGAAGAGAGACAAAGAGGCAGAGCACCGATCCCACAGATCACTGGCCCTCCAAGTCACTGGAGTGTGTGAAACGCACTGCCGCAACTCGTTGTTGCTCACATGCACGTGCATGTCACGCACCATTTATGTCTGCCTACTCCCAATGTGTGCATGCCACACACCGTGTTTTTTTTTTCAGCCTTTCTCCAAGAATAAAAATGTAATTTCCCTTCATGTTTAATTATTCAAATATTTATTCATATTTGAAGTTTTTTTTCACATGGATATGTTAATTTCGTAAATGGATGAGTTGATTTTATATGTGGATATATATGCTAATTGGTTGTGGAATTTATGTCATAAAAAATTATTTTTCACAAGTTTTTTTTAGAAGTGTAAGTTTATTTTTATATTAAAAACTTGTTTTCTTTTTTCTTACCAAATGAACGATTTATTGGCAATATGATCCTTAAATAGGTCTTATCACTCTAATGTTGAAATTTTTTTATTTTTATGTAATAAAAAATAATAATTTTTTTGTTTATTTTATATGATTTATGTTCAACTCAAAGATAATATAATTCTTAAATGTGTGCTATTCCATGAAAGTTGAAATTCAATATGTTTTCAAAAGCTATAAATATGTATTTTTTTTTTAATGTGAATTTGATTTGTGAGATGAAAGGTGTCTTTCACAAATACGTTCTTGATTTACTCTTTTATCATACAATAAGTTGTTATTCTATCGATAGAGTCACTTTTATCGTGAGAACATGCATTTAAAAAAAAAGATTACATAAATGTAGATATTGTTTTGTCTTTTGGTTTCGTAAATATGTTTTTCCTCAATGTATAAGAATGCTTGTTTATAAATTTTCATGTGTTAGCATACTTTATTCCCTTTTGCTTTTGTTATAAGTAGATTTGGATTGAGTCAACATGATCCATAAAGACTCGTAGAGTGTGAGTGAAGGTCTTCGAGCCTGTTTTAAATATAACCAAGTAATAGGCTCAAAGCATAATTTATCATTGACCATCCTTTTCCTCTCAGACCTAACATCTATATTCTAAAAGTGAGGATTGGATCGTATTGCTAGGTTTGGATCCTAAATCACTATAATAGATTTTGATAGTTTTTCTCTTTAATAACAAACTTGTATATACTAGTTTAGGCAAACTTTAGCAAAATTATAATATGTATCGTTATCAATAAAAATAAGCTAACAATACAGTTTATCAAAGACATGATGTTAGAGTGATTCTATTACATAAGTAGGATAATACCTAGAACCTTTAAATATCAATTAAGGTTCTAGTTACCAAATTAGGTGACTGTAACAATTAAAATATCAGTTTGCCAAGATATCCACGCAATACTTTCTAAAGACAAATTAATAAAAAAAAAAACTAAAAGAGAGAGAAATCAATGTGCACATATGCTCCATGTACTATGGATGAGGATAGTGTAATTATTATTTTTCCTTTCTAAGAAAAAAATCATCTACATGGCTTATAGGGGTAGAATTGTAATTGTATAGGGAGCAATGGGTCATTATCATTTTGATTAGAATCTAGGATTTCTCTTTTTTTTTAATTGTAGAGTATAATGACCGGATTGCCTTTAAAATACAAAAAAATATATATGTGATATAGGGGAGATTTTTTTTTTCTCTTTAAAAAAGCATAGTAAAAATATTTTATTGCCAAACAAATATATTTTAATTAGGGTCTAATGGCTTATTTGTCCTTTTCTTTTGATTTTTTTTTGTAATTATCAAGTCAAAACTAGGGTGGATTTGTCTTTTTTCTTTGAAAAGCAATATTAAATTTATTTGGTTACCCCCTTCAATCAAAAAGATTTAAATTAGGGTTTAATGGCTTATTTGTTTTTTTTTTTATTTTGGTCTTTTTTATAGTTATAGAGTCAAGACAAGAACAATTTTATATTTTTTTTAAAAAAATAAAAAGAAGAAGAAAAAGAAGAAGAAGTTTGTTGATGTGTTAGGTCACTCTATATGCTTCAAGCAGCACGTGCAAAGGATTTAGGTGGTATAAATTGTCATCTGTTGTAGTTTTAGAAAGATCACGACGTCCTCTTTCAAATGAGGTAGGGTGTGTGGTGGTTTGGCTCTGACAATATTTTTTTTCTGTCTTTTTTTTCTCTCTCTTTGCCTTGGAAAATATGTTGGACAATAAAAAAATCCATGGTGTCCTTTTATTTTGTCTTGATATTAGATCTAGTCCTCTTTCTTTTTATTGTATGATTTTTGTTTTAATTTCTTTTGTAAACTTTAAATGTTCTTTTGATTTCACACTTGATTGAAATGTTATTTTTTCTCTTATTTTGTCTTAGTTTCAGATTTAATTTTTATTCTTTTAATTTTAAGTTTTTAACTTTTTTTTATGTGAAATGTTTGCCTTTTTTGTTTTGTTTAATTTCACCCTTGAATCGATCAATGGTTTTTTCACCACAATTTTTTAGTTTAGCATTTGAACCTCATTATTTTATATTACTAATTTTTTTGGGAACTTTAGTCAAATTAATGGGATTTTTTATATAATTTCATTATTTAATATCGAGTTAATTATGAATTAAGAGTTGTTATTATTAATAGGGTTGCATCAAACTCATAATCAAGTTAACTCAGGAGATATTAGTTTTTTTTTTATTATTTGATACTTTATATTCTATTTTTTTTAGGTTTTTTAAAAAATTATTAGTCTCATGTATGATGTATAAATTACATGCCAACAGATACATTAAATGTTTGCTCGAGTCATTTCTTCCTTTTTTTTTGGTTATGCGATAAGCCATGTTATTTTTTATATTTTTTTGAAGCATCTAACATTGTGAAATAAGATAATGTTATTCGACCTCCTGAGTTTATGATGCAAATTCTAATTTTTTATTTTATTTTTTAAAATATTTTTACAGTTTCCGGATGTTTTTTTTTTATATATATAACACTAAGATTTCATTTTTCAGCCCCGCGAAGCTCAAGTCACGGACAAGTAAGAATCTAAACATTATACTAGGCACACGTACCACAAGAATGTGAATCCGTTTTAAGGAAAATATTTGCATGGAAAAATTGACATCACAAAACATCATTGCATGCTCACCATATTCGAACCCATGGAGAAAAGTTGGACTAGATTGATATATTCGTAGACTGATGCTTAATTACACCTGACCTAAAAATACAGACCAAACATGGAAACTCATCCATGGTCAAGCAAGGAAAAAAAGTACCAGCTAGACCAAAGATAGAGAGCGACCTACTGTACATATCGACAGCATAGTTAATAGAACTTAGAATCTAAAACTGACTGACCCCTTAACACCACTTCTGCAAATGCCAAAAACTTCATTGCAGAAGCTACTGAAAGACACCAAAATAAACCTAAAAACAAAAGATTACATGGTAATAATTCAAGACCTAGATGGATGACCAGTCAATCTCAACTGAAGGGTACTTCTCCAAACCAAAATTCTCAAACTCGTCCCAATGTAAAGAACCGGGAAAATCCAAGAAAGAAATCTCAGATTCTGGTGAAGAAGAACCAGCCACTGATTCGTCAGATGAAGCTGGTGATGGTGATGGTGATGGTGATGGGATCTCCACCTTATAGTCCTCAACTCCAAAATTCTCGTACTCCGTTTTCAATTCACCTCTCATAGAACAATCATCTTCAATTTTTGCTTGCAAAGGAGCTGTTGCGGTCTTTTTTGAATTAGCAACAGAACTGGGCTCCCTTGTTTTCCCCTGTTTTTGCAAACCCAGGCTTTGACAAATTGCTTGTAACTTTGCATCAACAGAGGAATGGAGAGGCTTTTAGTCAACAAATTCACCAGACACATGAGCTCCCTGGTGGCGAAGATGTGGAAAGTTAAGCCTAGCATATTCTCCTCTCAGCTTATAAGCAGCATTATCATAAGCCAAAGCTGCCTCTTCAGCTGTGTCATAAGTGCCAAGCCAGAGTCTAGTTCTGTTCTTTGGAAGTCTAATCTCAGCAACCCATTTTCCCCAATGCCTCTGCCTGACTCCTCTATAAAGCTTTGTTGGCTTTTGAGGAGAAGCACCAGATTGTTTCATAGGGACAGGTTTTGGAGCCAAGTAGTTACTAGCCTTTCGGTTATGGACACACTGTGATGTGGTAGCAAGATTTTCCATTTTCTGCTGCTGTTGTTGTTGGAAGTGGATTTTGGCTTGGATTTGGAGGATTTGTGAAGGTGTAAGGTGGTTAAGCCCAATTGGACCTGTTTGCTCAAAACCCATTTGGTTATAATCCAAGAACCCATTAGAAAACATCTGGGTGCTCGTTGGAGAGCAAAAGCTAAGGTCCAAGTTGGGATATGAAGAGATGGGAGAGTTATTGTTGTAAAAGCAAGAAGGGTAAGAAGAGAAAGGAGGAGAAGTTGAAGGAGAAGGTGAAGAATAAGTGGAGGTTGGTGGTGGCGAAGCACTTTTCATAAAAGGTTCAAGTGCTTTCATGAGTTCTTCTCTACAAGGATCTGAAAAAACTGGCACTGTTGTGTTGTAGATATCGATAGCTGCTGCCATTCCTGTTAATTAGAACTTGAAACAAAACTAAAGAGGTGGCAAAATTACGAAAGTTTTACAAACGAAAGGAAGAGGAGAAAAAAAAAACCCAGATAAAAGAAGAGGTTTTTTTGCACAAAAACCAACCTTGAGGGACCAAAAACAAACCCTTCAAGTTGATGAAATTACAAAAGCAAAGCAAAGGAAGGTAGAAGAAATGAAAATCAACCTGGATCTCTATTCTGAATCACCTGGCTTTCACCCTTTGCAGGGAATTGCTTGTTTTCCTTTTTTTAAACAAAGATTTCAGCTTTAAAATCACTAAACCAAAGAAACAAACCCCAAATTAGATTCTTTGAAAGGCAGACGATTAACAGAAAGGGATACAGAGAAGCGGGGAATTAGGGGGGGGGTTGAGTTCAAGAAGAAAGATTTTATCAAAAATTAAGCCGCTAGAAATTCTAGATTTTCAGCACTCTATCCTTTTTGGGGGTCTTCTTTTGTGGTGTGTTTCTTGGTCTCTCCCTATCTCTCCTTATATAACCCCCCAGCCCATGGTTTCACCTCTGATTTTCTAAATTTCTAAGGTTTCTAACCGCTCTTTTTTCCTTTTTTATGTGTTTTTTACTACAGAGGTCACCGCGTTACTTCGAAGAGACCTCCATCCGATGTAGAATATCCAGTGGGTGAGTGACACGTAGGGTCTTGTCGTACCCAGTGACCGGCAGGTGTCTGTTGAGTGAGCATTGGTCTTACACGTGTTTGTCTTTGATTTGGTAAGGACTTGATTGAAAGATAATTGGCTCATCGGTTATCTTGCTTTTTTGGAATTTTATGGGGTTTTGTCCTTCCTCTTGTTGCCACGCACTTTCCTCTGCCTCATCAAATTTATCAAAAATTTTGTGGGCAGGAAGGGGACCTTTGCATGTGTTTTGGTTCTTACACCATAATAAAATAAAAACAAAATCGTGGACCAAAATGAACATTTTGTTTTATCATCAAGATCCAAGACTACTGCCCTAATCACGTTCCAAAAGAACAGAGATAAATTTAAAACTTTTATTTCCCCCCTTGTTCACAATTCAGAGCACCCTTCTTCACTAATACATGAATTCTTCTGAATTCAAATCCAGTATCAAGCAAGCACTGATTAAATTGTTTCAGCACCCAGAAATGACATGGTATAGAGCTATTGATAACTAAATAAATAAAGATAGAAAGACAGAGCCAAGCAAAGCACATAATAAAGCACCATCCTTTTCCAAACCAACGCATGGTAACCTAGGACAAGCAATAGTGATTAGTACTAAATCCATTATTAGATTATGATGATTACATATGCGCAGATAGAGAAAATGGTGGCGCGTGCTAAAGTTGAAAGTTTGTTGTTACTTGATCTAAAAAAGTAAATACAAAAAAAAAAATCAGCAATGAACTTGACCATGATTAATAAATTCTTGATATAAACCATGGTTGAGGCCTCGGGGGGGGAGGGTGGTGGCGTAGCGGAGCACATAATCATGTGATAATTGACGACAAGTTGCGAGATGGACAAGGTATCGTCAATTGCGGCGCCCTCTACTTGGATACACCATTTTTAAGAGCATGGAAATGGAATTGGATTCTGTAGCCTCGTGAAAGGCCAATTCGCGTTCTGCCACCCATATCTGTCCTCCAACTCTAGTTAATGCAACCATGGTTGGTGTGCCTTTTTCAAAAAACAAATTACCTTAAATACCATTATTAATTCTTCCTCTCTCTTTTTTCAGAGCCTTGAAGAGTCAATAATGTAATTATTACAAGATCAAATACCATTATTAAGCGGGGTGTACTCTTAAAAATGCGAATTGACATTCCTACTATCGTCCCTGTGTCTAGTATAAATAAATGTTGTTTATCATTACAAAATAATAATGTAATAATAATTGTTTTTAAAATATTTATAAAAAATTTTAAAAAATATTTTAAAAATAATTATTAACACATCATCAAATCAAATAGATTTTTCTTCCACGAATATAAATTATGAAAACAAAATATTTTTATTTTTGGGGCAACGTATTGAGCTAACCATGGTTAGTTTCTCAAGTCAAAACGTTGAGAAGTGAGAGGGGTGTGAGTGATGTGCCAAAAAGATTGGCTTTAAAGTTGCGTAAGATGTAAGCCAAGGGATCCATTTGGTTCGTCCATTCTGTGGGGCCTACGAAAGTGAACAACGGGGCCTACGTTGACGATGTTACACGTCATTTCCTACCTGGACATCACTTTGAAGCCAAGCAAAGTAGCTATCTCTCTCTCTCTCTCTCTCTCTCTCTCTCTCTCACATTATTTCTAGTCTAGTCCACTCTGTTGGTACCAACTTGCTTCGTATAAGAGGTAAGTATTGGTTTAAATAATTCAGTTTGAATTAAAAACATAATTAAATTGTTTTTTTAAGAAGTTTAACCAAACGGAACCCAGTTAAAAGGAATTATAAATCAATCAGTTGGATTATGTTTAGATATAATAAACTTTAAAATTGTAATGATTTTTTGGTTTGATTTAGTTTTTTTTTTTAATTTGGTTTGCGTTTTTGGGTTTCTAAAACTAAAATAGAAATACAACTGAACCAAGGAAAATATTAATATCTTAACTAGAATTATCTAAAAAAATTCAAAAAATCCTTCAGTTCATTTAATTCTGAATCAGTCCTTGTAAATATTCTGAATAATTTAATTAATTTATTCACTACAATTGTAGATGTGGTAAAAAATTCGAAGGCTTTCCAGCCTTGTCTTCTGAACGAAGTCCCAAAAAAGACTCAACCTTTTAAAAAAAATATCTCGTCTTTGCAAATTTATGGGTTGCGTTTGGAATGATACAAAAGGAGAGTTGTTACTTAATTTCAATGATATTAAGTTAAGCACGGCTTAATATTGTTACTTAATTTCAATGATAGTAATATTGTAATAATATAGTTATTGTTTACCCTTTTCAAACAAAAAAAAAAATATTGCCCTATTATTGGAAGCAGGGATGTAGTTTTTTTTATTAAAATTCATTATTTATTATTAAATTAATTATGAACAATCCAATCTTTTTATATTTTAAAACCATAATAAAATAACTAAATTTTCATTAAAAACAAATTTTATTTAACTGAAACCATTTTAAAACCATAATAAAATAACTAAATTATCATTATAATCTTTTTTCCGACCTTTCACTTTTTTAATTATACTAAAATTATTTAATTATTCTTTGAATCAATTTTTTTTTATTTGTGTCGAGAGAGGCTTTTGTATTTTTATATAGTTTTTCTAGTTATAATCAAGTTGGTCTAAAAACAATTTCTTTAAAATTAGAAAAAAATTAATCCAGCTAAGATCATAGCTTAGGACACCAATATAGAAATAACAAAAAGGAGAAAGTGGTCTCTTGGTGATGCTAGGCAGCATTTGTCTTGAGGATACCCAAACGAAAATGTATTTGTTTAATTATTTATTTATTCAGAGAAGAGGGAGGAGAGCTGGGACCTGTAAAAATAAAAAATAAAAAAAAAGACAAAACTAATGTGAACAAGGTTGGGGAAGACGTGAAGAGTGATGACCTGCCTTGATAAACGTGAAGATCCGACGAAGCTTGAAAGAAAAGGTGTCTCCTGGTGACGGCTTTTCCTTGCTCCTCCCATGAGCTCTTCTCTCTCCTCTGTCTCTCTCTAGTTATTTTTGAATTCCTATAAACTATGATTGAAGATCCCTTTTTATTAGGTTTTTATTAATACCAGCAACAATGCCACTATCAGATAAAAAGTTTTGTTCATGCGAGTTTGCTTTTATCCATTTTAAACCCAATAATCACTGGACTTGACCGTTTTAAAACCTACTAATTTTAAATTGAAAAACTAAAAACTCAAACTTTTGAGTTTGATTTTAGATTCAAAATAGTTTTTGATATTAAAATGTTGCTTCAAAGGATTATTTTAGCGGTTTTTGGGTTCATTTATTTGTTACAAATTAAGATAAAGTTCTAATACAGATAGAGATAAAAAGGAGTTCAAATCTAAACACATTACAATTATTAATGTATCAATATCAAAAGAATATATATATATATATATATATATTAGGGTGTCAGTCCAAATAAAAAGAGATTTATTTATAATTTAATATTTTAAATTAGGTGTCATTTCAAATAAAAAAAAGTAAAGAACACCCATTTAAATGAACAATAATTCAAGAGGTGTTCTTAACTTCTTATAAATTCACATATTTTATTGAAATTAAATTTGATAGTTTTGATACTCGTACGTCTATGAAAGCCTATCAGGGATTTTTTTAGTTTTAATAGTTGAAAGCTAACCAATCATGCAAATGAAAGCACATCTTTTTGTTTGAATATTCATTTTCCAATTAAAATTAAAACATATCCTTACCCTCCCAAGTGGTTTCTTCAAAGTCACTTGTCCTCATTTGCCCGTGAATCCATATAAATTGAATTAAATAAAGTTAATTAATTTTATAATATTTAGGATCGGAGTGCAAAGTACTTGTATTTAATTTTATAGTATAAAATACTTTTAAAAAATATTTTTTATTTAAAAATATATTCAAATAATTTTTTCTTAAATTTTGTTATTATTAATATTAACACATTAAAATTATCAAAAAAAAATTAAAAATATTAATTTAAACTTTTAATGCCAAATATTTTTTTAATATTAAAATAAAGTTTTTTTTTTAAAAAAAAAAACCTTTTGTGACTCACTTAGAGTCCCCCCGTCAATCCATCACGTGTCTCGAAATTTTTTTTCTTCTAGTAGTTTTACTTTTTCTTTAATTAATAGAGGAGTGAGAAAATTCTTCTATTTTCATAAATAGTTAAAATAAAGCCTTTTTTTTCACTATTTTCTTCGGTCATCACCTCCTTTTCTGCTTTTGTTTACTTTTAAAACGGATATGCATGTATATTTCCACGTGTGGTATTTTTATTGTTAGATACTCTAGTTTTATTTAAATTAATAAAAATAAAATTTAAAAACTCATTTTCCAATTAAAATTAAAACATATCCCGACCCTCCCAAGGGGCACATCGAGTGGTTTCTTCATTTTCCAATTAAAATTAAAACATATCCTTACCCTCCCAAGTGGTTTCTTCAAAGTCACTTGTCCTCATTTGCCCGTGAATCCATATAAATTGAATTAAATAAAGTTAATTAATTTTATAATATTTAGGATCGGAGTGCAAAGTACTTGTATTTAATTTTATAGTATAAAATACTTTTAAAAAATATTTTTTATTTAAAAATATATTCAAATAATTTTTTCTTAAATTTTGTTATTATTAATATTAACACATTAAAATTATCAAAAAAAATTAAAAATATTAATTTAAACTTTTAATGCCAAATATTTTTTTAATATTAAAATAAAGTTTTTTTTTTAAAAAAAAAAACCTTTTGTGACTCACTTAGAGTCCCCCCGTCAATCCATCACGTGTCTCGAAATTTTTTTTCTTCTAGTAGTTTTACTTTTTCTTTAATTAATAGAGGAGTGAGAAAATTCTTCTATTTTCATAAATAGTTAAAATAAAGCCTTTTTTTTCACTATTTTCTTCGGTCATCACCTCCTTTTCTGCTTTTGTTTACTTTTAAAACGGATATGCATGTATATTTCCACGTGTGGTATTTTTATTGTTAGATACTCTAGTTTTATTTAAATTAATAAAAATAAAATTTAAAAACTTATTTAAATATATTTTTAAACAAAAAATATAATAAAAAACACTTCAAATAATACTACCAAAATATCTAAACTTGTAAGGACTTAATACCATGAACAATACTATTAAAATATTTAAATTTATAAGAAAGATTTAATTTGTTAAATTTTAAATTTATTTTTTAATAATTATTGAGTTCGAGTTTGTGCAAGGTTATTAAAGGTTTAAATGATCATTAATTTCAGAATTAATAAAATTAATTAAAATATATATAAGTTAATCTAAATACTCACACTAATACAAATAGCCACATTGATCCGAAAAAAATAAATCTAAACTTTTCATTTAACTTTAACCATCACGTGTCTCGAAATTTTTTTTCTTCAAGGACTAAATTGTTATGAAGGGATTCATTTGTTCGAATACTAGCATTATATTCTTGCTTGTCATGCAAATAGTGGCGGACACTGAAGGAAATCATGGATATTACTGGGGGCAAACCTAGCACCGTGAAAATTGTAACGGGTAGCAGGAATCTAATTGAATAAATACTTTCAATGCGAGGGACTAAATCATAAAATTTGAAAGTTGAGAATCAAGATGCAACTTGACCAAGTGAATTAACACCTCAAAGCCATCACACTAGCTTAACTTAAAAATCACAAAATTGCTGATGGACATCACAAAAAACTTAAAACGGAAAACAGAAATGCTGAGCTATAGAATTGCAAAACCCTCTAATGGTGGTTCAGAGATCACCGCCCATAACAAGCACCCATACTTAAAAAGCCTTGATTAGCACAAATCTCAGGCAGTCTCAGCCCCCTAGTTGACTGCCGCAAATGTCAACCTCGATGAGACGTGGCACACCCAGATGCACATATGAGATTTGAATGATAGGGTTTTGATCTGTACACTGTAGTTGTTTTCACGAAGCAGAATCTCTCCACTGGGTCCAGAACCCTTCGCCTTGAGGGTGGGCACAACATCTTCCCCACCGGCCACCAAGGGTGGCTGCAAGTATTGAAACTTAAACTTGGGTAATTGACCAATCTTTACACGAGGAACATGAAGATGTTCATATGAAATTAAAAATATATATAAAAAAAAGAAGTCAAAGCAGCTTCTCTATTATATATATATATATAGGAATTGGTGTTTTCACGGGCAAATAGCTTAATTGTAAATTTTATCCCCCTTTTTTCATAAGAAAACAAGTTTTTCTTATATTTTTTTCTTTATATTTGGTATTTTTATCACTATATGTTAGACCTATTTATCACTATTTTTTTTTTCTCATCTTCATTTCTTTTGTAATATTTTTTTTAGTTTTTTTTCCATATATTTTTTTGAAAAAAAATATTTTTTATTTTTTATTTTTTATACCTTGAATATTTTCACTTTACACTTGACCAATTTTATCTTTTTTTGTTCTTATCTCTATTTTTTTATTAATTTTTTTCTTTATAACTTTTTTAAAAAATTATTACTTGAAGACAAAGAAAATGATTCGGCAATTGTAACATTGTTCAATTCTTTTGCTATTTTAAGAATTATCTTAAGATCTTACATATTTTTGTTAGTGAATATGATATTTATTATATCTTATTATATATAAACATTAACATTTTGATTTACAATTATATTTTTTATTTAATGTTAAAAAATACATTAATAACACATTCATATCAATTCCTTTGTGTTAGGAAAAAAAATAACTTAAACTACATTGAAGTGAGTTGAATAAACTCGTTAATACTTTGTTTTATGTATTTATTGGGATAGATGGCTCTCGATATATTTAATTAAATGCATACTTAGGCATTTTAATTTATAATTAGAATTCATTTCAAAAAATACATATTTAAAAAGCTTGTATATTTTGTTTTTTACTAAAAATTATTCAATCCACAAAATAAGCAAGGAGTTATATTATTGATAAATAATATATTGTGTGTGGTTTTGCATTATATGATAATGAGATCACCACATTAATTAGTAAGTTGTTTCTTTAAATTAATATATGGTCTGCCACTATAAAAGACAATAGAATTGAAAATGAGTAAAAACAAAGTAAAAAAACATGAGAAAGAAAAAAAACAGCAAAATAGTTTATTTTATTTCTTTAATTTATAGCTTATTTATTGTTGAATTAAGTTGAGATTTTAATAACAACTTCTAGACACATCAATCTTCATTCTGAACAATTGAATTGAAGATTAGTAATATGAAAGCTGGTCATTTTGATAGAAAACGAGACTATAAGTGTTGTAAGCTTTTCTCAAATATTTCTCTCTTTAATTTTATTATATTCCAAGAATATATATATATTAACCCTTAGTTAAATTTGAAAAAAAACAATTATAAATCTATTATTTATTAATAGTAAAAGTTTTTAAATAAACTATAATCACATAATTTTTTATCCATCAGGTTTTATCTGTAAAATTTTTAGTGTTGATTTATGTAATTATTATATATATTTATTGATTGTTTCATTCTAATTTTGATTATATAAAAAATAAAAAAAATTAAAATTTATAAATTATGAATTAATTCAAATATATTGATGTGAGGTTATTTATTTCTAATTTTCGTAAGATGACATGCTAGTTTTCCCAACATGACATACTATTGAATACAGAAATATGGCTTCACTCATTTATGAGATTCCACTAGAAATGAACATGCATCCATTGTTTTGAATCTTTAAAATAAACAACAATCATTGGTGGTCAATAAAATGGAATTCGTTGCCTTGACTGCGTTCATGACAGCTCGCAGTTGATTATCATAAGAAAGAAGCAGAAACCTTGGCACTTGGGTCAATTCAACCTCGTATTTTTTGATTATTAGCCACATGCTCTCATACAGCATCAATGTAACAAAGATTGGAAAATGCGATATGACTTTATTAAAAATTAAACCAAATGAATCTGTTACAACATAGTAAGAACCATCTCTAAAATGAAGAAAACCACAGAACAACAAAACTGATCAATTGACAGACCAACCCAAGGAAATCAAACTCAAAACAATTACCAGGTCAGTTCCCCAGGCCACAAAAAACCAAACCTGAGAGCTGAAAAGGGCCCTGATTGGAGTAATATAAGAAAGAATGAATGGTTGGACAAAATAATTAAAATTGCCATCCTAGACAAGAACCCTGACCCCTCCCCCAAAATGGAGAAAAAAGATGTCCAACTGGAGGACTTTGAGGACATGGTTATTGCCTTCTGATATAAAACTAAGGCAATGCTGCAATGATTCCTTTTATCTAGCTTTCTCTGCAATGTTATCCTCTCTTTCCTAGGTAGCCTTACATTTGTCTGTCAAGCATTAGCATGCCTCTGCTGCAAAGTTAAAATTTGCCCCACGTACGCAATTTGCACCTAAGAGTATTCTTGCTCATTACCATTAAACTAAAATTACTTCCAAAAACACTAATTGATAGGAGGAATCAGTTTCTCACCTTTTATGCAAGCAGAAAGCATCTCCAAGAGTAGAGTCCCACCCAAAAAAATCCATATTTGTAGTTTTTTGTCATGGCAATCAATCTTTCAACTTGTTTCCATAACCTACTCCAGCCTAGTAGAAAATCAGCGTTCTCTTCTGTCTCACAACAGCTATCCAATCGAAGATGTCGAGAACCATTAAGAAATTAAGGTCAGCTAATTTAGAACTTGAAATAATAGCTCACACGGGCTAAGTGATAAGCTGACAATATATCAATATTTATGGCAATCCAGGGCGCGACAGCTCCAAGGTCACTGTTGTTCTATATCAATATTTATGGCAATCCAGGGCGCAACAGCTCCAAGGTCACTGTTAATGATTGGTTCACGTAAAAATCAAAATATAGCTGACATGCAAAGCACTGGAAACAGGTAAATTCCAGCCTCATCTATTGAAACAATTCTCACTATAAGAAAACATCCCTTACCCTCTGATTGATGTCAATATCCGACCATGATCTCTCATTCAGTAATGGGTTAAAAAACTAATGCCTCTCTAGATAATCATGCTAGGTTACTGTACAGCCAAGAAATTTGCAAAAAGAAAGGAAAGGAAGAGGTCCAATGTGTTGTACCGGTCATTATTTATTTTGTATTTAACTATACCAGAACCCACCATAAAGGCAAAGGACAGGCTCAATTAGACACCTAAACCTGAACCTAAACCTAAACCGCTAAGAATCCCACGTATAAGCAAAACCATTTTAATCTACTTTACATAAACTAAAATAATTTCAAGAGCAAGATATCATCAAACAACAGTTCATTAAAACACTCAAGCCACTCTATAAAAAACTCTCGTTTTCTTTTTATAGACATTAAAACACTCAAGCCACTCTATAAAAAGCTCTCGTTTTCTTTTTATAGAAGCCTGCGACCCTGGGCGAATAACAATCTCCTTCCTCGTTCATCTATTCTAAAAATCATAAATCGGACTTGAAGGCTAATCATTTTGGTTCAGCTTAGGAGTCGATTCGGGACTAGATTCATTTATATATTCATGTCTAATGCAATCCGATCAATATTATCCAGCAAACCATACACTGCGAACAGGCCTGGGGAATCGTTTATTTATGCTTTCATTAGGTGTCCAGGGACTTGGTCTAAGTTCAGAAGGCTAATCTCTGTAAGTACGAGCAGTAAAAGAAAAGCTGATTTCGTATGGTCTGGAACCTGACAAAAGGGTGACAATCACAAGCCATTAGTGTTATAAAAGAAATCCATCCAATCAGCAATAAGCAAACCAGACAAAGACATTGAGAACACCAATATAATCAGCCACCGTAGAAAGAGGCATATGAAAAGCGGAAATTTTATCCTCCATCACAGAAGTTTTTCCTCATGTCAAAGCAGCTGCAACAACAAATCTTATAAATGGTGCAGATATAAAATACTTTTTTAATAACAATAGTAAAACATAGGAGAACTTTGCTAGACAATCCAAGATCACACAGAAGTGCATGTGTACATTACATATACTGTGTGCAGAAATAACAAGAATTAGAATGACAAGACAATCCTACAAACATCAGATGCATCAGAAGTACCCTAAAGTGTGTCCGAAGGCATCCCAGTGATCATCTCTAGATCCATCTTGCAGCTGTCCCTCAAATCTTTCAGTGTCACGTATCCAGCTTGCTGCAAGGAAAATTTGGGATTTAAGTCAAAATTCACAGTTCACGATAATAAGAGAGTGATCAAAATAAGTCATCAGGGGCATTGATTTGAAACTCTTACGGAGTAACCCCAACCAAAAAATCAAAATTCAGGTAAACACAATACAAATGATTTCAAGGAAAGACACAATAGATCGTGATTCCAGCAATAGGAATTAGTAATCCTTCTGACAAACCAGGGAAAGGATCCAAATGTTCCACAGTGAGAAACGTTATCTAACAAAGCAAGAAAATCTACACTCACAAGGTGGCTGCTTTCATTAGCAAACATATCCTCCATGTGTCGAAAGTGGGACCTCCAGAGATCAGTGAGGTCAGGTACTAATTTCAAGGATTTGTTAGAGTTTACTTGGCTATGAATATCTGTCTGCTTTCCCCTAGCATAGTTATTAACCAAGATTCCCGCTTCTTTCTGACTCTTCCTCAATGCTGAGAGAACACATGAAGCCAACAGCCGAAAACAGGTACATCACATTGACAAAAGTCACAAAACATAGCAATTTAGAAAAACGTAAATGCAGTTCTAGCAATAATTAATTTGCTCTAGACACACATACCAGATTGTCGACCTTTAATGTCCTGGTAATATAGGTCCGACCAAATACAAGCAGCTGCTTGACAAATTGCAGAGTGAAAGGCTCTCTTTAGATACATACATACATATATGAGCAGTAAATTTCGGCAATCAATAGTTATAATGGAAATTACAAAGAAAGCAGGGCTTACAGTTACCTTTCAGGCAAAAAGAACAGGAGCAAGCTTTGAGCATGTCAAGACCTGCATTCAGATTGGCACAAACATCACCCTTGAGAGTTGTGCACTTTTCCGACTCAAACGATTTCAAACCCTGTGAAGTGGGCAACCTCGACCACTCAACAGACCCACATCTTTCTCTAGCTAACCTACCAACACCAGAATCATTGTCATCATTTGCAGAAGCACCACCGACTAATGCTTGACCAGCTGGATCGATCAGTATAACATTGGAGGTGAATTTCCCTTCGTCATCACTATATTTTGTGCAGGGCCCAGAGCTCGTATGCACTGAACCACTAGATGCACATCTAACTTCCCCAATACTGTGTGTACCTGCACCGCCACTCTTAACAAGATCAATACAGCCATCTATCAAATTCGATGTTTCCTTATTATCACTAGGCCTATCTGCGACAACAGACACACCAGCTACATTCTCCTCTGAAACATCAATCTCACAGCCAGTAGTCAACGAATTGCAACCTTTCCCAATACCACCACATTTCTCTTTCACCAAGTCTTCAACTCCTAAACAAACTTGTTTTGCAGAACCTGAATCCCCATTTACACTATCCACGCTCTTACCATACCCATCTCTAGATTTAAGCCCCAGATCACCCGAAATCAATGAAAACACCCCTTTTGCCGGAAAATTGGTCACATCACCCAAAGCAGCACGCGGTTTGGAAGTGAAACTATCTCCACTCATGGTTAGTCCTACAGAAACAAGAAAGAGGTGAAAAAGAACCAGTAACGAAATCAACTTCCAAATTCACAAAAACGAAAAACCCACTTCCCCGACTAGCTAAAAATCAACGAAATTTGAAGCGAACCCACTAATCCACGAGACCTAAAGAACAAAACTTTTGAATTCGCCAACAGATATCAACGTAGACAACGTTAAAGTAACCAGTGAAAATAATGCATTAAGCAACTAAAAAAGAAAACACCTTGTTTTGTAAGATGCTGAATCTGGACATTTATTGTGGAAAGATTGATGGTAATGGCAAGAAGCCTTAAAATCTGTGAAATTTTTAAATATCAAAGAATGAAAATGCGCGCGGCAATTAACATCTGCAAATTTTGGGTAACGAAAAGTTGACGGCGTAAGAAGTAATCCGGTTGAGGCGGGAACCACGTTGATTGGGTTTTGAATTACTTGGGCTCTAGAGCAGGATAGTGTTATTTAACATGGAAACCTAGTTAAGTTTGGGCTTTATGTCGTAGTAAGTGAAATTTAACCGGGTCAAATCTAGTAGAGAATAGATCTGATTTTTTTCTTAGAACACGTCATTTTAATTTATCATTCATATTATTTTTCAAAAATAAAATTTAAAAATAATATTATTTTAAATTAACATGATCAATTTAAATTAACTTAGTACCAAGTCAATTTTTATAACTTTGCTCGGTGATATCAGGGCTGAACAAATAAGTTTTTCATTTAAATATGGAAAAGATTATAGTGCCAATTTTAAAAAGAAATAAATAATGGAAAAGAAAATTACATTCATAGTTTCATACCCATCACATGTATGTATGCAATTACATGTGCGTGTGTTGTTGTTTGGGTTAATACAGTAACAAGTTATTGGTATTTGAACTACATGGCACGAAGGATAATACAATAACAAGTTATTGGTATTTGAACTACATGGCACAAAGGATGGAGAAAAGCTTTTTTTTTTTTTTTTACTTGAGTTGCATGGCCTAACAACAATAAATTAATTATTTTCTTAATAAAAATGTGTACATGTGCTTTCAATATTTGAAGGAATAGTTTGGAAAACAGTTTAATCTGTGTTTTTTAAAAATTTAATTTTTTTTAATTAAAATTTAATATATTTTATATATTTTAAATCGTTTTAATATACTAAAATAAAAAAAAAAATTTAAAAATAAAAAAAATTATTTAAAAAACATCCCGCCAAGAGCAACTTGGGGGTCGTATAAAGATTAGTCGTGGTACGCGCAAGCTAGCCCGAGCACCCACATTAATTAAAAAAAAAAATTACCTACCATGGTTATGTGTGCATGAAAATATTACCTTGATGGATTGTGAAAGAGTTGTCGTGATCTTTGTTAACATTTATGGACAAGGATCCCTAATTTGTTCGTAGTTAAATGATCACGATTACCTGGAAACGAGTGGTCATGGAGACTAGAGACGTGCCGTAAGCGAGAGTTCATGGGAAACAATCGAAGAAGATGAGGAGGAGTTATATAAATTATAAAACAGCTGCAAGCAACGCATAATGAGCACACAGAATCACTCGAGAGCAAGCTGCGATTGCACACATAATGAGCACCTTTTTTTAAGTTTCAGGCGCACAAAACATCTAAGCCGTAATGCTATGAATGCAGATCCATGCTTGTTTTCATCTTGCCATGAACTTACAGCTATGAATGCAGATCCATGCTTGTTTTCATCTTGCCAGGAACTTACAGCTATGGATGCAGATCTGTGCTTCTTTTCATCTTGCTGCCAGGAACTTACTTTCCACTTTTCTGTACTGAATCGACGTTTGCAGCTCTGGTTTCTACTTGGTATTTTCCATTCTAATTACCATTTCAGTGGTCATAATTTGATTTGAATTACGAGAATTAACGATTTTGAGGATTCTAAACTATGGTTTTCACAGCTTTACAATCGAAAAACTCCACTGCTTTAACACTGATCAAGTACAGGGTTAGTTTTAGTTAGTGGAAACTTAATTAATTAATGTGTTTCGTCTAGCCTTTAACACACTCCAACAAATTTTAAGAGCATCTATAAAAGTAAAAATAAAATACTAGAGTCAAATTAATAATATAAGTTTTTGAATGGCATAAATAAAACTTTTTGTTTATATACATTTTATTGGTTAAAAATTATTTATAACTAATTGTATTTTAATATATTTGATATATAATTATTTTTATAATTTGATAAAAATTGGATAACTTGATAAATTTAAAAATAATTTGAATAATTTTAAATTAATATAATATTAAAAAAATTAAAAAAAAACAATTTTATTATCCTCCCCCGGATAATAAAAATAAGATTAATTTTATACAAAATAAACTGAAAAAACATATTTTTTAAAACAATAATCAAAGAAAAAAACAGAATAAGCATAAATAATATTTTAATATTTTATTTATCATTAATGTAAACAGGAGAACTAAGTTAATATTTTTAAAATTTTTTTTGGCTTGTCATTTATAACATCCTTGTATATGCCCTAAATGAAATCTCATCGATTCTGCAAGTTGTCAAGGGCTGGAGCAGAGCGGCGAGGTATAATTGGTGAAGGGTTGTGACTGGTCAGTAGTGTATTTTTATTTAGTTATTATTGTCGTTATAGTTGACTTTGAGCGCACTAAGATGTTTCTAGTTTTCCTTGTTTCTGTATTTTTTTTTTTTTAAATCTGGAGAAAGGGACTTGTATTATTATTATTAGAAACGTCAAGATTAGTCAAATCTTCAATCTATTCAAGGGCCTCTTCAAGCCAATCGTACCATTCATCCAGGTAAGATCGAGTTTGGGGGCTGCTTTGTGACAAATACAATCTCTTTTTGCATGATTACACGAAACTGTAAGGAAGAACTCGCCAGAGATTTTGCATATTCAATAGCCATACTCACATAGGATTCATGACAGATTTCACCTCTCATAGCAAGATAGAGCGATTTCAAGGTTTTCCTGGACTTAACTCAGTTGTAAATCATTGTCCTTGTGCCAGCATGCTCTTAGTTGGGTTTCGAAAGTGCATAGCATAACTGGACAAGTGATTCTTGATTTTTTTTATTTTAATTTTTTTATGGTCCAGTTATAGACTCCCAATCTCAAGAAGAAATATGTCGTCTCCCCCAAACAGTGTCTTGAAGGGACAGACAGCACTACCTACAGATAAAGTTCAACAGATTGGGCTACTTGATGCAGTTAATGATAAATATGGAGGAGTTGTGGTAGATATGAAGGAACCCATGGACTCTCACATCTATGTTCCTTTGCTTAGAGCTTCGATATCCCAATGGAGGCAACAGGTAAATAAAACTGAGAACCTCCTTTTCGAAAAGATCATGGCTAGTTACTAAAAAGATCTTACGTGTTAACGCACCATGTTCAACTTGTTTTCATTTTTTCTTAAGGGCAAGAAGGGTGTTTGGATCAAATTGCCTATTCAACAAGCTAACCTTGTTGAACCTACAGTTAAGGTGAATCATAAATGCAAAGTGACAAGCCTCTGAAATTCGTACGCTTAATATTTCCAACTGGAAACAATTATAATTGATTCAATGTCTCCATTGCGTTCCTGGGCATGATAGAGTGTTTTTGTAATTAATTGTGCAGGAGGGTTTTAGGTACCACCATGCTGAATCAAATTACTTGATGCTGGTCTATTGGATTCCTGACAATCCTGATACTCTTCCTGCAAATGCTTCACATATAGTTGGCATTGGTGCCTTTGTTATGAACAATAAGAGAGAGGTACTTCTTCTCGACAGTAGCATTAATATATTTATGCTTTTCTCTAAACTTAAGGTGGTGGTGGACTATCGAGTAAGGAAAATTCAATTTTCTCTTAGTTCACCTTCTTGTTCCGTCATTGGTGGGCTGCAAATGTGATTTCTGATCTTCAAATCAGGTTCACGCTACAAAATAGTAATTTAAAGCATGGTATGGTTAGCAAATATAAAGAAATTCAATAAAACGCTAAAACAGTAATTCAGTTAGAAACTTTTGTTGGCTGGTTGTCATCATTATTCAAGTCCTATGTTGAGGTCAAATTATTCTACGTGGAAGGTGCTGGTAGTGAAGGAGAAACATGGATATTTCGAAGGTAAAGATGCATGGAAGTTTCCTACAGGCGTTGTTAATCAGGTAAGCATTATATGATGGTGGTTATATGTTAATGCTTTTTCACGGTGTGCACATGGTGAAATTTTGCATCCGCAGGGTGAGGATATTTGTGCGGCTGCAATTCGAGAAGTAAAAGAAGAGACAGGAGTAAGTTAAATTCCACAGGTTTCAAACAAAATTAAATACTGTTGTATTTTACATCCTCTGAAGTCTTCACATCTTTCTAACATTAATATCTCTGGCTTTATAATGGTTCAGATTGACACAGAATTTATGGAAATTTTAGCATTCAGGTAAGAAGATTTCTTCTCGTTAATCACTTCAATTTTCCATTCCTTTCTTTATTAGTTATCACTCAAATGTTTCCACTCCAAGAAAAAGGGGAACAGAAAAACATGAGATAAGAATTTCATTGTAAAATGACTAGACATGATGGACAATATTAAGGCTTTAATGAACACATTATTTATCTAAGCAAACCTGTTTAGTTGGTTTGGGCATGAAAAGTGAATGTAATCTCTAGTTTCGTATGCTTGATTATGGAGTAGACAGGTAGGATCAGATAATTCTATCTTTTTGTAGGCTTAATCTATCGCCTATTTGATAGCAAACCAGCTAAAGAAACCCTGTTTGGGATGTGTAATGTGCTCCTATTTACTCTTAGCCAGCCAGGCTCCCCTGCCCACCCCCAGTAGTGAGCTTCCATTAAATAGTCTGTTTTGGAGGCGTTAGGGTAGATATACTCAAGTTGCATAACCCAGTCTGAATAAGAAAAGGTCCTTCGATGTTGCAGGTGACATCAACCAATGATTTCTATCAGTGATTGCTGCAACATCAGTTTTGAGTATGGGGATCCTCCATGCTCAGTATAAGGCTAGTGGATATCGGTTTTCTATTATTTGCAAACTAAAACCAGAGTCGTCCATCTTTAATTGTGGAGGATACTAACATTAAAGATGAAATGTTTCAAGTCTTTGTACAATTTACATACGCTTGTTCCTGTTAATTGATTTCTCCTTTTTGTTTTATGCACAGCCAAACCCACCAGCAATTCCTTGGAAAATCAGATTTATTTTTTGTTTGCATGTTACAACCACTCTCCTTTGACATCACAAAACAAGATTCAGAGATCAAGGCAGCCCAGGTACTATTCATCTTTTTTACAGTTTATTTTCTTGTACTTGAACTGGACAGTAGTACATGTCAACTATTAAACAGGATAAATATTCTCTTCAAAAAATTAAACCAGTCATCGAAGTTACAATCGCATTATCTTACTTAAAAAAGCTACTAATGTGTTCCATCTTGAGGTTTGACATTTGTGAATGAAATGCTTTGGATACTTGATTTTGCGTCAGCATTTTAACTCAGTTTTTGGGCCCTTGTAGTTATGAGTTGAATGCACCCTTGTAGAGACAAGAACCAACACAATACGAGTATGAGGAATTTTCAGCATTACATTGTTGTGATTTGGCCATACATAGAATCATGTCAGATCCATGAATGCGAAAATCAGTGAAGCACTAGCATAATAATAGAGAAAACAAATCACAAAAAGGTAACTTATGACGTATTTAGAATCTCTTGTCTAAATGAAATATTTTACAAGAACCGACAAGGAATTCTCTTCATCATAAGCTGTTTTGATCCTTTGAAACAAGTAGGTCTCTTTAGGTTTAGGAGGGCCTAATGACTATAGCTCGAACCTATCCAGCTTTTACATTGTGATGGCATGCTGTTCACAGACTAACCATACCTACGATTTCTTTTTTTGGGTCAATATCAACAGTGTAGTTCATTCAATGATAAATCTATTATGAATTAATTGGAGAAAAATCTAAAATTTGAATCCATAGAGATCTCTAATGATTATACGAATAATAATCATTTTCTTTTTCCTTTTTTTTTTTTTGGCAGTGGATTCCAATCGATGAGTATGTGAACCAAACTTACAACCGGGAACACAAGCCATTCGAATATGTTGCTAAGATATGCTTAACTAAGTCACAGAGTAACTATGGTGGATTTTCAGCAGTGCATACACTAACATCGTCTGGCAAACAGCCCTATTTGTACTTCAATGGGCAAGATTTCAAACCGTGATAGCATTCTTCGTAGAATATGTAGTCGTTTTTGGGAAATTAATTAGTTAGTGTATGAGCTAAAATATTCTCACAGGGCTTGGTCGTGTTTATTAGATTAAAGAAATAAATAGAGCATATGGGTCTTTCACTTAAGCACCAGACACGGTTCATGCAGGTTCATAGCTCTTTGCCTTCAACTGTGCATATGAACAGTGTGCTTTTATGTTTTTGTTCATTGAACTTTGAATTCTTGCAATTTCATCCTCCAAAATTATAATATTATTGTTTTTTTGCATGTAGTTCTTTCAATTTGCATTATCTTTAATGTGCTTAGTTTCTTAGGATTTTCAAAATGAATTGGTTTCGATTTTGTGAAATCAGAACTTCATTGGGGTTGAAGATTGGAAATAAATGAACAAGGATCATATTTGACAAAGAACAAAAATGCATTCCTCATTTAGATTTTTGTGTGGGAAACTTTAGTTTGATCCCAAAAAAACTTAGATTTTTTATCATCTGGTCCCTATTGTTTTGGAGATTCATGGTTCAAAATTAAATTTCATTTTCTTTGTGTTTTAGAATGAGAAATGAGAGAAAGTTGTCAAAAAAATTGGCAGAAAATGTTTGGATAGTTGCAATCTAGCAATAAGAAGAACAAGAACAATGTTTGTGTCAATGGATTAATCTTCTCAGGAGAAGTTCAATAAATGTGATGTTTTTCTATAAAGGTCCTCCAAACAAAATAGGCTGGGGATTGTTTAGGTTTTTTTTATTTTTTTTTATTGGGAGTAATTTTGGGTTGATAATTGGTTTGTTGAAGGTCATTAGGTGTTTTTGAATTGTTTTCAAGTGAATAAAATGAAAAATAAATTTTAGGAGTATAAAGACCTGAACTCTGATTTTTTTTATTGTTTTGTTTAGCCAGAGACAGTCGCCTGCACAACATGTGACCTGTCACATGATTATTAATAGAAAGAAGAAGCATGGAGCGGATGCTTTGTCATATATATATATATATATAAACGGAATAAGATGCACCGTTTGTTTTTATTCATGAAGCTTCTTTATTAAGAATTCCCTTGGTCAGATCTCCTGTCCAAAGAATTCATGCTTGTCTTGGGAAAAAAAGTTTAGTCGCTAGGCGAGGTCAACTTATAAGCTAGTAGATCAATTATTTCTATTAGAATATAATATTAGGTTACTAAAAATTTGATCCCGCAATCATTATTATTTTATACTGTTCAACTAAAAACTTATTTTTAATTAAGATTTGAATTTCGAGTTTATAGGGCTAATCTACCGGGCTTGTTAAAGTTTAATAATTATTGTTATTGTTTTTTAACCATCAAGATTATATATATATATATATATAACAACTCTGTTGATTATAGTCTAAGATTAAAATAGAAAGTTAAGATAAAGATATTAAAAAAATAATATTTGTTTAAGAAATTAGATCTCGAAAGTTTAATTAATTTGAATTAATAAAATTTTATTTTATTTTGTTAATTTTAAGTATTAACTCAAAATCAAAATTTATTTTTAATATTACAAAAGTTATATATAAAGCTAACTAAAATAAAACATTAATCTGGTCAACTTAACATGGAAGAATTAAATTGACAATAACAAAATTAAATAACAAAAAACCTCAAGAAAAAAAGGAAAAACAATGTTGTGGGCAACTACTATAACATACAGTGGATTTATTTTTTTATGTTATATTTTTATTATTATTTTTTAATATATTTTTCTATCTCGCATTGCCTCGTGTGTATGTCTGCAAACATCTTTTTATGATTTTATGATTTATTGAGCATCAGTTTTGTGAAACCATATAACAATTGTTAAATGAAAAGTAAAATAATCCAATGAAAAAAGAACACAAATGAAAAAAAAAATGTTTGAGATTTATTAAAGGGGAAGAAAAATGATCCAATCAAAAAAAGACTTAGATGATAAAAAGGTATCCAGTAAAAAAAAAATGGAAAAAATAAAGTTAGGATGATTTACTGTTTATATAAAAAATATATTATCCACCTTTGCATCAATGAAAATTAAATAAATGACTCGCATATGAAAAGTAATTTGTTGTTAATGTTAATTAAATAAAAAAAAAGGAAGATGTTACTGTAATATGAATATTTTAAAAGAAGTAAGGAAATCTAAGATTTTGGTAATTAAAAGCGAACGCATGTGTTGCTAAATAATAACCCAAAAAACAAACAAAAATAAAAAATACAAACAAAAATAAAAAATTATGAATCAAGCATATCATGCTTACTTTCATATAATTAATTTAAAGCGAACGCATGTGTTGCTAAATAATAACCCAAAAAACAAACAAAAATAAAAAATCATGAATCAAGCATATCATGCTTACTTTTATATAATTAATTTAATTTAACTAAAAATTAAAATTCTTTTTAGAATAGTTAGATTAAACAAAGGTTGGAAAATAAATATAAGTTAACCTTGTTAATTTCAAAATCACATAAAAAACTTATAAAAAACAATTAAATAAAAATAACAAAATATTAGTGGAGAAAACTAAAAAAAAAATATCTGAAAAAAAAATTAAGTAAGTCTAGGTGAACTTTATAATTTTGAATTAATATTTTTAATCTAGAATTTGTTAAATTGTAAGCTTGAGTTAAATTATGAAACTTAACATCAACCAAATAAAAAATTAGAGAATAAAATCAAAAAATTAAATTAAACTTCTTTAAAGAAGCTAAATTTAACAAAAACTTAACAAAATCAAAACAACCGTTGTTGTTTTAAAAAGAAAAGTAAATCCCTTAGAAGGCAAATAAAAAAAATATTGAAGGATAAAATTATATATAAAAAAAAAACTTAAGAACAAGGAAAAAAATAAAGCAAGTTTAAGTAAATTTTGTAAAGATATGTTAAACTCTCAAATTCGTAATTCATTAAATTCTCAATGCAGACTTAATCTAAAAGCTCAATATCTAAAAAATTAATTGTTAGATGAAGAAATCAATCAATTAATTTAATTTAAAAACAAAATTCCTTTAGAATATCTAAAATCAACAAAGACAAAAATAAACAAAAACCAAGGCAACATGTGTATTTTCAAAATTACTAAAAAATACAATAGAAAGTGGGGGAAAAAATAACAAAATGATGGAGAATGAGAAAAAAATGTTAAAAAAGAAAAGAAAAAAAGAAGCAAGAAAACTCTTGTTAACTTCATAAACCGAGGTTAAACTCTTAAACCCACAACTCATTATATTTTAGATCTAAACTCAATTAAAAAACTAAACTCCTAACTAATTAAATGTTAGATTATGAAATAAAAAAAAATTAATCTAAAAAAGTCTTGCAAGGTGAAAGAAAAAATAATAAAAAGGATTAGATTTGATAGAAAAAAAAACTCAAGAATAATGATATTGCAAAAAACAAATTACAAAAATCAACTAAAATAAAATAAATAGTAATCAAGAAAATAAAAATTAAATCTAATAGATAAAATATATTTATTAAGGATGAAATTAAAAAAAATTCTTAATTTCATAAATTATTCTAAACAAACAAAATTGTAATAAAAAGAATAAAAATGAAATTAAAAAAAATTAATTTAAAAATTATTCTATATAAAAAATTATAATGAGAGAATATAAATGAAATCTTGATAACAACACAACTCAAAGGCTGATGTGAATATTTTTAAGGCTGGCATGAAAATCATGTAGGAGAGAGGAAAGAAAAAACTAAAAAGTTCATGCTTATTGTACTAGAAACAATTAAGCTATACATATCACTGTATGTGAAGGGAACACCGAGATGCTTTAATTATTATCTTGAAAACTCTCCATCCAAACTCGCTAGAAATTGTTCACATGCTTCCAAATTTTTATTATTATTTATAAAATTATCTTGTTGTTTTTAATGACATTTAATAATTATTAAATAACTAAATATAAAAGATAATAGAGCCCTCCATCAACAATAAAGTTCACAGCATGTCATCTGATTATTCAATAAATTATTGTCAGCAAAAAATAATTGCAGATATAGCTCATAAATGATGAGAGACCACGACGTTGCTTGTCCCCGCTAGGGAAAATAAAAATAAAAAATAAAATAAAATGATGTCTACTCCAATCCCATGGAAACAGGTGGAGACTGCTTTATTAAGATTTACACACACTGAATCATACATAAATATATCCACATGTTTATAAATACCAAGGAACAAGTACCACCAACTTTGAGGGATGTGATTTATTGGTTTGATTGTAGGGTTTTTTTTTAAAAAAATTATTAGTTTGGGTTTTATAAAATTTAAAATTATTAAAAATTTATATAATTATTAATTTTAAAATTTAAAATTAATTTCAGATATTTATATTAATTAAAAAAAGTAAGTCCCGCGATATTGGACGAAGAAAATTTATGTTTGTTTGATAAACCTAAGATCCCAACCTTTTTATTAACTGAAAAACAAAAGAGAGGCATGGTGTCCAAGTAACATCAAAATAATATGTTCAACCTTTTGTCTCCCTTGCCGTTAAAGTTTGTTTGTGGGGAGGCTTTGTGTCTCCTTTCTGCCGGTTTCTTTCTATCTCGATAATAATAATATTTTATTAGTTATTTTTTATTATATTTTTCAAAAAATATGATATAAAAAATATATATTCTATTATAAAAATAATAAGGATATCTTTACTTATAATTTTTATTTATTATCTCTCTCTCCCCTTCCCCGTATAAAACTATATAGTATAGACAAAGAAAGCAACCTCGCGATACCTTTCATCTCTGCCTTCATTCATTGATCACCACCACCAGCGTTACCACCAACCCCTAAAAAGGTACAAATGGAACAAAAGAAGCAAAATCCCACGGCCGAGAACGAAACACTTATAGTATCTCGACGAATCCAACGGGTCTCCTTGCACTTGGCACCCGTACCCCGCCCTCTGCATGAGCATGACACGCAGGAGCAGCTAGGGTTGTTTCCATGTGCAAGATCAGCAAAACTTGAGGTGGAAACGGAGAAGTTGTCGCTGTACATGAGAGGGAAATACAGAGAAATACAAGAGAAGATTTACGAGTATTTTCATGCAAGGCCAGAGTTGCAAACACCGCTGGAGATTTCAAAAGATGATCATAGAGAGCTATGTTGGAGACAAATGTATGGTTTGATTAAAGAAGCTGGTATTAGGCCTTTAAAATATGTTGCTGAAGATCCTGCCAAGTATTTTGCTATTGTTGAGGCTGCCGGTGCTGTGGATATCTC